TTTAAAACATGATTTGGGGACTTCAACAGCTGAGTCAAGGGAGAGAATTATTCCAGAAGTGGGTGGGTCAGCTTTTGTGGCCCGCATCATGCGGGAGGTCAGACTAGATGATCATAATGGTCTCTTCTGACCTTTGAGTCTATGAGTTGCTAAGGTTCAGCCACCATAATGTAAACAGATGGGCTATAGTCCCTTCACAAGAAAAACTGTTCTCCAGCCAAAGAGCAGCAGAAGCAGAGGTCAGTGACAGGATCGTAGGCTGTAGACTGAGCTAATGAAGTCAACATGGACCCATTCCCTTTGTTCATGACTAGGAGATCAACCACCAAGCACACCTTATAAACACTCCATACTGAACAGTGAGGCCTGAAACCAGACCCACAGGGATCCAAGAAGTCAAAAGAATCCAGAGCTGTGACCTTCTCAATACCCCTCCCCAAAAAGGGAAGGCTAGAGACAGAGCAGTAGCAGAAGAGACCAACAGTGCTGAGTGACTGCTTGGCAAGATACCAGCCACTGTAAAGATTTCAGAGTAGCAGCCGTGTTAGTCTGTATCCGCAAAAAGAACAGGAGTGCCACAAGTACTCCTGTTCTTTTAGCCACTGTAAAGGCGATTGGCATCCTGCCCTCTAAAGACGCATCCACATTCCCCATCAATAACATATCTGAAACCTGCCTGATGCCTTTTACTAGCCAAGAGAAGCAGAGGTCTGGTCTCTGAGATCACAGCCCACAGCTCCCACTGGCCCTGGGGGTGTAAACAGGTGGAACTCCACCTGCAGACACAGCTCGCTTGTCCATGGAAGTGGCTTAACCAACTCCTATCAAAGCTGGTCTTATCCAGGAAAGAGATGGGGAATTTGCAGTCAGAAACGCTTGGATCTGTCCCTGAGTGGAAAGAATCCAGATTCAGCAGGGTGTTCACCACGCAGACAAAACAGTCCCACATGCCTAGATTTGGGGGGACCCAATGATGGATGAGAAGAAACCCTTTTACCCTCAGACTACAGCAATATAACTGGTTGGATGTGGGATATGCTTTCCCCAGCCACCTTAATCTCCTCCTGTGTACTAAGGTGTCCCATCAAGGTGATGCATCTAGGGGCCAGTGTGTCAGCATTCAACGATCACTAGCTCTTCTACAATTAAACATCTTCACAACCATTCCAAACCTCCTCTTGGTGCTGGCAGCAAGGGAGGAAGCATGCAGAGATCAGTCTGCGTATGTCAGGTTACTATCATCCAGATCCTTTATTAACTAACTGACAAGACAGTGGTCCCTGGCATGTGTCCGGAGGACAAACCTCTGGCTGTAAGTATCCACGTTCCGTTCACTACCCAGGGAAGGATGGCTGAAGGGAGCCAAAAACGCAAAGTGAAACTCCAGCTAAACTTCTGAGTTTGGCCTGAGGTTGCAGTGAACCCAGGGTCACCTGGAAAGGTTCCTAACTCTCTTAACAAAGCTGGGGCTCAGGTTCAAGTTCATAATAGAACCAGGAAACAGGTGAGTTCCTTGAGGTTTTGTTGAGAATGTTTTGCATTTTTTCAGGTCTGACAGGGTAAGATGAGATCCAAGGTTCCCAGGAGAGATTACCAGGAAATAATTTCAAGGGAAGAATTTACTGGTTTTCTGCCCAGCTTGAACCAAAAATGCCATGGAGTTTTCTTTCATTGCTCATGTTACTTTCTGCTTCATCCCCTCCCTAAACCAGGCACCATCACTTGTGCCCCTCCTTTTGCCGGCTGTCGTAACAGGGGCTGGCATTATACTTGGCAGCAGCTCCAAGGCGTGAGCGCACGTATCAGACCACTGGAGCCAGGATCCCGGCCATCTGCAGTTTCCACCATGTCAAAACTTTCCAGTTCTAAGAGCCCTTTAAACCTGACAACACTCCCTACATACACTCCATATACTACAGAAAAGGGCTCATCTAAGGCTGAGCTGAGCTCATCGGAGGAACAGTGACTGAAACCCTCCTCCCACTTCATATGCGCTGAGCTCAACAAGATAGAACGGACTGCTACACCCCATTGCTACAGAAACAGCAGCTTAGCTGCTTGTCATATCCCACATGCACATTGATAGTGGCCCAGGCAGCTCAAACAGCTGAGCTTCCCAAAGCCACAGCCCAGAAAGGCTAAGCAAGAGATCCAGTATGAAGTGGCAGAGGGCATGGTGCAGGGGGAACCTTAGATACCTCTGAGAGGGGACTGCCTGGCCTGCACGTAGCGGACGAGGGGAAAGTAAGTGTTTCAGAGGCACAGGAGGTGCAGGCATGTGCTAGAGAAGGGACGGTAGCAGCATGCCGGCTGCAGGGGACATTCAGTTAAACAGTGCTCAGGGTTTACATTCCCAGCGCTGTGTTTACGCGGAGCGAATCTCTACAGCACATGGGAACGGTACAGCAGGCACACCAGAGACAAGGCTGTGAGGCTGGAGGGGACAACAGAGGCTGAAAAGGTCGGGGCATTCTCTCCTCCTGTCCATTATCAGGTGAGGAGAACGGCCGTTTCCACCTCTCCCAGGCCAAGGGAAGAGCAGGGCTCTGCTCCTCACAGTGCTATGGAAACCTCTGCTTCCCAGCACAGACATCTCCTGTCACGTTGGGCTGTCACGGCGCTTTCCTGCAAAACGACCTAGAGTAGATTTCTAAGAAAGCGTGGGAGCTTCTGCAGCAACAACCCAGAAGAGGGGCTGGGGCAGAAAAGCCTAAGGGTACGTCTACCCTGCCATTAAAAACCGTGGCTGGCCCATGCCAGCTGATTTGGGCTCGGGCTGAGGGGCTGTTTAACCGCAGTGCAGCTGTTCAGGCTCAGACTGGAGCCCAGCCTCTAGGACCCTGCAAGATGGGCTCTAACTTCAGTTTGCCACACACAGTCATTCTAGATCAGGGGCGGGCAAACTTTTTGGCCTGAGGGCCGCATCGGGTTTCGTAAATTGTATGGAGGGCCAGTTAGGGGAGGGGGTCATGGCCCAGCCCTCACCTCCTATCTCCCTCCTCCCCCCCGCCCCCTCGGGACTCCTGCCCCATCCAACCCCCCCT